TGGCAAGAGACCAGCAACGCGGTTAACTGAGAAGTGGATCGGCTGAGGAAAGACCGGTGTTCTCAGGACGGAGTGTGCGCGGTGAGGGCGTGGGGCTGGGTCTGGTGAGGCTTTGGGATTAGCCATCATTCTGCTCTTTACCAAAATGGAATCTTTTTGTAAGCTTTTAAAGACAGGTGAATATAAAAATAGATGTGTCCATAAGGAGGTTAGTAGCGTGATTTTTGAGGGCTGTGATAAATCTGTAGAAAGTTTTTGTTAAATTTTTTTTTTTAATCAAAGAAGGTAAATTACAATCTTTATACTAGGAAAAAAAACTGTTTCAAGGGCATCTGTTAATAAAAGATTAAATAGGAGTTATATATTGGGAAAACTGATTAGACTTCCTAATTACCTTCTTCATAAGAGTGGGAGATCATTGAAAAGAATTTAAAAGATAGCGTGTTAAAATCAATACGGGAAGGTAGTTTTCATCTAGTCTCCAACTACAAACTCTGAAACCAATGGCTGTCATATACTTCAAATCTTACAATTTTTATACCTGCATAATATAATTGAATACTTGCATGGATAGCAAGCAACAGTATGGATAAATGTTCACTTACGGTTTTATGCCGAGTTGTTTGTTGTTTTTGTTAGTGTATGCCTAAAACTTGTGACATACATTTATAGCCCCTTATCTCTCTGCCCCTTGGTTAGAGATTGTTTAATGGCAATCATTTCTTTATTGCCACCTCCAGAGATTAATTGTGGCATGCAGTGGTGAATAAATACCGGTTGTTTTCAAGGTTCGGTCCCAAGGGCACTTAAATTGGTTTAAACTGGAAGTCCTGCAATCTTCTCCTTTGCTCTCCCATTCCTTCAGCCGCAGTCATCCTCGCCTCTGGTTTGTGGTGTACGTGCTGATGCTTCTGCACAGGGTTGGTTCAGGAAGCTCAGCTGGAAGGGTTCCCCCCCTCCCCTTTGGCAGGGCGAGGGTGCCCAGTTGAGGTTCGTGAGCCAACTGCATGGACATTCGGCCTGGGGGAGAGGCAGGGATGCCTCAGCCGCACCAGGATCCGTGCAAGCCGCAGTGCTGCTCCGAGGAACGCCGGAGGTGAACCACTTCTGATACGATCCTTGCTGTGGGACGCTCTGTGCAGGCCTGTCTCCTTTCCGTATCGCAGCATCTCCTGTCAACAGGTAGAATACGCAGCTTGGATTCTGGAAACGATACGCCTTCTCTCTTAGAATTGAAGGCCCTCAAAAGCTTCAAAACACTGAGAAATGAGGAAGTGTTTTAGATTGTAAATAAAATTTTGTTAGGCTTTGAAACATGACTTAATTTCTGGATACTGATGATGTAAATCAGGAAGTTGTGCTGTTGCATTAATACAAGTTGTAATTTTGTTTTGTGTTCAACTCTTGAAACATCTTGATTTGCTTTACACATTACAGTGCTGTCTTATTTCTGTTCTGTTTACAGCTGATATTATTTCAACAGTTGAATTTAATTACTCTGGTGATCTTCTTGCAACGGGAGACAAAGGTGGCAGAGTGGTTATATTTCAAAGGGAACAAGAGGTCAGTGACTTGAAAAACAAAAGTACTGCTACTACGCTGTTCTTGTGTTGCACAGTCTCGCTTTATCTGTTCATGCCATGAGGTTTAAATGGTTGGATAGCTTTCTCAGAAAACCCTAAGTTAGCCAAATTTCCAAATATTTGTCTTATGCTGAATTTGGTGGGTTAGTCTGGTGGCAGTTCCCCTCCCCACCTTCAAAAATAAAAAAAGTTCCCCAAAACACAGTGAGTTCTTTGTGTATGTACCTAGTATGCTCAGTATCCTTTGGAGTAATTGCCTTTGGACTTTGTCCTAAACTTCACTCTTGGTCAGGTTGATCTAACATGAATCGTAAAGCTTTTGAAGATAATGTAAAAAAAAAAAGTTTCTAAAAAAGGATACATGTTAAGCTGCGAGGACCACAGGGTAAGATGGCTCAAAAAGTGAAGAATTGAGCATCTGGTGTGTTCTAGGATCCTAGGAATCAAAACCGGTGGGAACAGCTACTTCTCCAGAAGCACTTGAGCATTTTCAGTCCAGAGGGTAGGAAGACTCTCCCTCCTCTGGTGATGCAGCTTTTCAGCTGGCTCTCTGCAACGGTATTCAGTTGTGCGATAATGCTGTAATGCGTTCTGCCCATTCATCAGTGCAGATACGTCACGGAGCTTTTTATATATCCAGAGAAATCGTGTGCACTAAAATGCTGAAAAATAATTGTCATGCCTTGTCATGTCTGGGAGAAATCTGGAACTGTGTTCTTTAAAAAGTTAATATTCTGCATGGCAATTTTCACCCTCTCCCCCCGCCCCTGAAGAGCAAGTTTATCCTTTCCTTTGAAGAGCTGATGAGAATTTGAGCCTTTGGTTTTGAACCTTCTCCTGGATCAGAAGTACCAAAGCTGATCATGCCATTTTAATTCAGCTTTTTTGTGCGTGAAGTATATTAGCCTTTAGGTGCTGTTGGGTGTTTTTCAGCAGAATCCCTCTTCTTTCATTGTGTGGTTCAAATGATGCTCCGTTGACGAACAGCTATCTAATATTTTGCATTTCATCCTCACTGTGACACTGTTTACAAAAATATTTTACCAAAGGTGACTTAGCGGTTTTACTGTGAGGATTTTGAGAGGTAGTGAAATGAAAATACTATTGCTGAAAAAGCTGCTGAAATGTTATACTACTGCACCTAGACAGCTCATAGCTCATTTATCATTAGTCTGCTGTATAGACTTAACTAAGGCACAGAGAGATCAAGGTCAAAAGTGTCCACCTGCTCGGGATCTCTGACTTTCCCCATGCTTGTTTCGAGCAGATCTATTATTGGTTGGCTTTCAGCTGTTAGTGCTCAGTTGTTCTGTAATCAAACCAGCTGTCACCTCACTTCCTTGTAGTGTGGAAAAAAAAAAAGTCGTTGGGCTGTTCACACAGGAATATTGGGCGCTCTGCCTGGGAGCCCCTGCGAGCTGTAGGGAATAGTGGGGCAGAAGGGCCATTTCCCTTGTCGCGTGCAGAGCTGCACACTTTCGGGAGTGGAGGGAAAAATCTAAAAGAAGTATATAACACCGGAACCTTAATAAAATCTTGCAACCAATATTTTTAAACAGTGTGGATTTTAGGCTAGGTTAACTAGGTTAATAACACCTTAGGATAGTGATAAAATTTCCCATATGCTTTAATTTGGGAAGGCAGGCTGAGATGTTGTGCATCATGCCCAGAACTCACATGACGTTATTTCGGTTCGAAGCAGCTGGTTATTCCCACCAGATGTGTGAGTGCAGAGCGAGACCGCTGCCCAGCGCCAGGCAGGGCAGCTCGCTCCAGACACGGGTGGCTGGGTCAGTAACGTAGGTCACTGTGCCAAATAGTGTTAGCTGAGAGAGAGTCCTGTCCAAAACGCTTAAATGACGAGTGGGGAGTAAAATAATGTAAAGTCTCAGCACTAACTGGAACGCCGTACATGCGAGAGGTTGCAGAGGAGGGAAACCTGGCTGAAATTCCCTGATCCAAGTTGCCAGGTGAAGCGTGGAAATGTAAGGAAGCGCCCGAACAAAGGTTGCCTGTGCAGCCTGGTGTGGGCCTAGCAGACTTCACGGCGTGAGTCGCTGCGGGTTTGCCCGGTAACGGGCGTCAGTCCGTGTGCAGGGAAAGCTTTGCTGAAGTGAGTGCTTTCCCGTTGTGTTTTGGGGAGTTTGAGTTCTCGGAGTTCTGGGCACTGCGGTTCTGCAGGTGGGGCTGTTCCCCAAACACGGATCGCTGTCGAACATTGACTTCTTTGGGAAGCCTGATAGCTGGTTGGCCCAAATCTGAGACCGCACATCTGTGCAGACTTGTGACTTTGATCTCTGCTCCTTGCTGCCGCGTTTACCAAGGGAGGATAATACAAAGCGGCCTTCTGGTTCTGCGAGGGGAAAAGCTGTGAGCGTATTTGTAACAGTCTTTGGTGCATCATGATGAGCACTATAGAACAGCTTAGATGAAAATGTGATAGTTCCAGCCTTCTAGTTTTTATAATAAGAAAGGTTGTTAAAGCTTAATTATAAGCCTTGATACCACTTCTGGACACAGCATATTTTAAAATGAGTAGGAGAGGAGCTAGATCTCATGCTTATGCTTGATCTTGCTGTCCCTTCAGCGGAATGACTTTGTGCAATCAGGTTTTTATAAAAAATTTAATTACTCCACATCCTATGTCCTGTAACATTTATTTCCTACTCTGGAAACCCTGCATTATGACCATGTTGTGGTGATTGGAGAAACGAGTGTTGGAAAAGGACAGGAGTAGAGACTAGGTGAAGTGCAGAAAGTGATGGCCTGGAGTTTGTTGGGTTTGCATTTAGGATGTAGCTCTCTGCTCCAGTTCTGAAACTGCTTGGGAGAGGTAGCGCAGCCTAGAAATGTTCTAAGCAAACGTAGGCACTCCTGTGCATGCTTTGACGTGTTCTGTGAGTACATGCATCTTGATATATAAAGAACCCTTTTTCAGGAGGAAGTCTGTGTGCACGGTGTTAATGCTAAACTAGATACAGTATCATAGAGTGAAAACGTAAAGTTCATCAAGCTCCATTGTAAAATGTTTACTTTCTCCTTGACAATTTCTAGTCTTTAGTTTGTATGTGCAATTCCTAATGAACCAAGTAACATCAGCTTCAAGAAATATTGTGTTTCCTTGCAGAATAAAAGCCGTCCTCATTCAAGGGGAGAATATAATGTTTACAGTACCTTTCAGAGTCATGAACCTGAGTTTGACTACTTGAAAAGTCTAGAAATTGAGGAAAAAATTAATAAAATTAGGTGGTTACCACAACAGAATGCTGCTCATTTCCTGCTGTCTACAAATGGTAAGGACACTTTATTTTTGCACAAAGAACTTCTGCTGTCGTTTGAATAGTATCTCACCTGTGATCTGCTTATGGGACTTTTTTTTCTGGAGTGTTTTGGGGTTGTCTTAATGTCTTCTCTAATTATAAGCTTAATATGTTTTGATTGTAATACTCTGTAAATTACTGATTTCTGAATGTAAAAATAGTGAAGCGGCAGCAACAGAATAGGCACAGTTACAGAGCTGCGTCCTGTGGCTATGCCGACCACGCTGTCAGTTCACATACCCTGTGTTACTCTGCTTTACCAGTGCTGTGTAAACGGGTTCCCAGTATGCTGAACTGTAGCAGAAGCTTGAATTTGACTTGATCATCCCAATTTTGCAAATTATTTTTTTGTGATCCCAGGTGTATTTTTAATAAAAGCATTTGAAATCGAAGGACTCTGGTTACAATGCTCTTTTTGCTCTTCCAATACCAAAACATCATGTGTGCTCTGGAAAGAAGACAACAGTCACTCTAGGAGGAATAGATTTATACTGCTTTCACTGCGTACCTGAAAATACATAAAGCAGTGCAAAAATTACAAGGTGGAAATTACAGGTTTTCATGCACTTTGGGTGTTTTATTTCTTCCAGTATTTTAGTAGTGGTTTTTAGGTGTGAGGTCTGTTTCATTTTGATGCATCATGGAGCAAGTTGTAAATGTCGATGCAGAGCTGTGCATGGAAAAACTTGCTCTTACTGTTGGGGGAATACACTTGTTCCTGACAGTTTGGATCCCTTTTTGCCTTGTACGTAAATGACTTCACGTAAGGGCTGATGTCCTACCTGCTATACAGAATTTTAAAAGTGAGCATGACTTCTGCCTGCTGGACTTTGAAATTCAAACAATCTCACTTCAATGTAAGTCTTACTAAACTTAACACAGTGTTTCAACTGTGTCATCTTAAACGCTTTAAAGATACGCAGTATTTTGGGGAGGAGAGGTTTGTTTCCAGTTAGCTAAGGGTCTCACTCTGGGTGTGTACTTCCCTCTAGTGAGACCTGGGAAGTACATGCCTTTGGACACGGAACCCTGAAATAACGGGGCAGGTCCTGTTCTCACTTACTGCCTCTGGTTGTCTCTTGGCAGACGCCTGGGACAAATCTGGTTTTCCTTAAGGTGGTTGGTGTAAGTAATTCATGGGTTTGTTGGGGTTTTTCCCTAGCATTTGTGTGCTGGAGATAATTTAGATGGTCATACAGGGTTTACTGGTGAATTTTGGTAATTGGTCATAAAATAGTTTGGGTTGGAGGGGACCTGTAAAGGTCATCTAGCCCAACCACCCAGGATGTGAAACTTCCCTTGGGAAGGGTAAATGGTGAATGGTAGGCATAGGGGCTTATTGTTCAGGCAGAAACTTGTATTTTATTCAAAATTAACACTAAATTGGAGTTAAAATGGAATCCATCTTTTTTCCCCCCTCCATTTACTGACAGTTTCCTACATTTTTCCATGTGCACCCTCCAAGCGCATGTGTCTGGTGTATTTTTTTTGTTTGTTTTTCATGTACCAGTTCTGCTAAACAATATAGCTGGAAGGCAGAGTACTTGTAGTGTAGCTAAGGAGAGCTGTACTCCATGTTACGTTGCCTTTAAAGGACTCCATCAGGGTCCTTTCGTCGCAGGCAGTGGCAACCTAGGTAGACAAATACTACCCACACTGCTGACTGTGCTATTTAGTGATTTTGTTTTGAGTTTAGTTCCTTCTCAAGCATGTGAATTTTTGTTGGTTTTAGATAAAACTATTAAATTATGGAAAATAAGTGAAAGGGATAAAAGAGCCGAAGGTTATAATTTAAAAGATGAAGATGGAAGACTTAGGGATCCTTTCAGAATCACAGCACTACGGGTATGTTTCTGCTTTTTAACTTTAAGTATCTTTTTGCATGTACATCTCTACCTTTGTACTACCTAATTGTCAACTGAAATGTGCAGATTAAAAAATGATGCTTTGGTCGGGGTCACTGAAAACTTTTATAAAAAAATGGAGACGCTTCATTATGCATAAATAACTATTAAATAAGGTTCCTCTGGAAAACTTGAGGAAAACTTTCATGATTACAATAGCTTCCCAATAGTTTGCTGTATTTTTTTAGCTTGGAATATCTTAGCATGTTTAACATTTATTTGAAATTTTAACTTTTAAAAAATTTTAATATTTTGTTAGTGACAGCCTTCATCCACCTCAGTATGTTCAAATTGTAGGAAAAGATATACTGATTTATTGACAGCAATAAAATAATAAGAAAAAGTTGTCATTCAAGCCTGAAAATACAGCATTTTTGATTATCTGTGGCTGGGGCTGCACTACTCTGTACTCAGTTCATAGAAAGTATGGGCTCATCCTGCTGTGTTCTGAAAATAGTCTCATGTTTTAGTGGAACAGGAAGAAAAGTGCAGGGAATACATGTATTTCAGAGGCCCGTGACATACTGACTTCTGCCCCTGGCCGCGACTAGCCAGTCGAGGATGGTGCCGTGGCATCTGCTCCAAGAACCGGTCAGGTGGCATCCTGTTCTTGGGCTGAAAGCATGTCCCATTACCACTTCAGGAGGAATTTGGCTTTGGGTGTATTGATTTCCCTCCCCTCCACCCCAGTATTGCTCCTATTTAACTTGTTTGGTCTTTTTTTTCTAAGACTCAAAGATTTAAGCAGGGTGATGGGTATCCTGTGGTTAGGGAGAGGGTGGTGGTGTTAGAGGCGAGTTCTGGGCGTTTGGAAAATGTGTGCTGGAGTAGTCTTGACGTTTTTCCACTTGCGTAGTGATGTAGTGGTAGGATTAGCACTCCAGACTTGGGATCATTGAAAGCAGGAGTTAAAGAAATGGAATAATGTGGGGTTGTGGGTTTTCTTGTTGTTTTTCTTACGTTGTTGTTGTTGTTGTTACTATAAATAGGAATTGAACTGAGGCTCGTGCTACTTTCAAAGCCAACACCGCTCCTGATGCTTGGGGGACCATACAGTTGTGGGGTTTTGTTGGGCTTTTTTTTTGCCTTGCTTTTGCTTAGCATAATCACGCATTAGGCTCACATATACCTAAATCTTCAGTTCAAGATTCAATTTAAGCAAAAGCAAGGCAAATAATCATGTTGGGAAAGGATGCTCGCTTCCTCTGAAAGTGTCTTTCTAGTCAGCATGTGGGAGCCAAGATCTGATTGAGTATTCTGATGAAAATATCTAAAACCAAGGAAATAGCTTATCATGCAATGCATTAGGCCAGTAGCTGGAGGCAGGTGCAGATGAAATCTTGGGTTCTACAACCTTGCCCTTACGTAGGAGTAGACTGCCCGTCTGGGAACATGGAGACTCCAGACGTGGCCTGGCGGTTTTACGTGGTACTGGCCATGTCACTGAAGGAGTACGTTAGCATCATCTTTAAACACCGTAGTATATTTAGAAATCATCAAGCTGGATGGGGGAAAGCAACAAAAAGCATGAACATCTCTCTTCAAAGCTAGCCTTCCAAATTTGCTGCTCTTCTGGGAAAGGAAGGCTGGGCTGAGCTGCAGACCTTGCCAGGCACTGCATCGTACAAGAACAGACGATGGAGTGAACCAAGACTGAGCAACGATTGGCAGAAGGGAAAGAAAACGTGCCTAGAGCTGCCTCCACACGTTAAAATGATCAGCTTTCAGTGATCTGTATACCTTGGGCTCTTACGAGCTTTGTTTGTATATTCTGTTCTAGAAATATAATCCCCATTTGCCTATAAGGTAGGCACAGAGGAGAAGCAGCGCTTCGGAGCTGCATCCTCTGCATAGAGACCATGGCATTTGGAAGTGTCTTGCCTGTTAATTCATGTTAGTGCATTTTGGATTCCACAACCAGGCTGGGAAGACTCACGTGGTGAGATAGGAAAATTGCCTAATAAAAAGTCATGGATTAATTTTAATCATTACAGTCTGATGTAAACAGACCGTGAGACGCAAACATGGTGAAAGCAATTACAGAGCTCTTGGATTAATTTGTTTCTTATTCCAGGAAGACAGAGTACCTTGGGCGCTGTCATAATGTTTTTCTTGGTTGGATGATGTCAGTTAGTGTTCTTTGGAGTGGTGTGTACTGGAACAGTGTAGAACGTCCTTTGGCAGCCTTAAGCTATTCACTTGCTGGGCAGTGAGAAGGAGCTGGAGGGAAGCTTGGTCCGCGTGACCCTGGCGAGCCATGTCACCCTTTAGAGCAGCTGGTTAGAAACAGGGCATCCGTGCGCTCCTGAAAGCGTGCCGACTGTTCAGGGAACAAATTGGGGATTTTCTTGGCAAGCTGTTCTTACAGTCTGTAGGCTATTTTATTGCTTTTCTTGCTCAGTGGATCTGAGAAGTGTTCAATCACTTGAGACCGAAGTCTGTGGTGTGCCGTTAATTAACACCTTCTGAATCAGCAATCTGTGTTGTGCCAAAATTGACTGTTCTTTTTCACGTTTCAGGTGCCAATATTGAAACCCATGGACCTAATGGTAGAAGCAAGTCCCAGAAGGATATTTGCGAATGCACATACTTACCACATAAACTCTATTTCAGTAAATAGTGATCATGAAACGTACCTTTCTGCAGATGACCTAAGAATTAACCTATGGCACTTAGAAATCACGGATAGAAGTTTTAGTATCCTTTCTTTGTTGTCTGTGAACGTGGGGACACAGCTGTGTATGTTTAAGAGAATCACTTTAATTTTACTAATTAGAGTAGGTGTTTGAATCTAGGCATTAAAATACAGGATTTCAAAATCTGGAGGCTGAACACAGTGAAAGCAGGCCTTACGATGCTCTCATTTGTTCTTGAGTGCAAGCGTTCTTTCAGTGGAAAACTGCCAGTAGAAATATTGTAAGTAGTTTGGTTTCTAAAGAGAAATTGAGGAATTTGGGGAGCGTGCTTTATTTATGCAGTTCTGTCAGCTTAAAGAGAAGTTGGAAGATTTGAGAAGTAGATGCTTTGTTACTGTAGATGCTTCTCTCCAAAGTTTAAAGTCTCTTAACTGTCTAAGTGCCACTTCTCTTAAAGAAAACACATTTCATTTTTTTCATATTAAATTATATCATTAACTGCAGAAATAATCTTCAAATCTTTTTGCAAGGCTGTGTAGCCAAAACTGATAGCATGTCCTACATAGACAAAACTGCAGTAAAATGAAAGTTGCAAGAATACCAAGTATTAAATGGGTCACGTACAAGTTTTCTAAAGCTTTAGGTAAATAGATAAAATATATGCAGTGTTCAACAGGAAGCATTAAGGAGGCAGCTGGAGAGGACTCTGAAATCATCGCCAGCATCTGATAAAGTTTATTTGTAAAATCTAGATTTATTTTTTTATGTTTTTTAAATCGACACAGGTCACTTTACTTTGCGTAGATTGCGTATGGTGGAAATGAGGATCTTGCCCTGGTTTTCTGCATGGTTTCTAACATTTTTCAATAATCATCTGCTAGAAGTGATTTGAATGTGAAATGTTACATGCCTTTACAGAAACCTTCCCAGATATTGTAGATATTAAGCCTGCTAACATGGAGGAGCTGACAGAAGTGATCACTGCTGCGGAGTTCCACCCGCATCACTGTAACGTCTTTGTCTACAGTAGCAGCAAAGGCACGATTCGACTCTGTGACATGCGTTCCTCAGCCCTCTGTGACAGGCATTCAAAATGTAAGTTGGGGTGCGTCGTTGCTTTGTGGGGTTCTTGCTTTGTTTTCATGCAAGATAGAGCATGTAGGTGTTCTGCTTATAAACATGCGTACCAAGTTCTGCTTATTGGTAACGAGCGTACAAGGTAAGGGGTGGTAGTTTTGTAGAATGGAACATTTTAATTGTCTTGTTCTAGGCCATCAACAAGCAGAAGTGTAGCATGAGACAATTGACGATCTGACTCTGCTCCTGTTTACCCATTTATGCTTCATAAACTGATGGGAACAAGTGCTATTGGCACCAGTGAGACCTGTCTTCTGTCCAGACTCAGTCTTGGTGCTTCTCAAAGGTATCTGCTTATCAAATGCCAGTTCAGGGCAGTTTATTCACCTTTGCGCATTAGAAACGGGGCCGATGCTGCCAGAATCCATTCACTTTGTGACCATTTGCAGCTCCTAGGATAGAATTAATTCTGCATTTGAAGCGAGTTTTCAGGGGTGAGAGGTGAATGCCCTTTGGTCTGCTGAGCCCCATAAACGTACGTAGGCGAGGAAGGCTTCTCTGTGGAAGTCATAACTGCCTGTGCCTTGCAGGCAGCCTCTTGCTTCTGGTTTGCTGCAGTTGAGGTTTGTTAGTATTACCAGTCCTGTGGGGTCACCTGCCAGGCTGATATTTGCAGGTAAGCTTTCTGTAGCACAGATAAGGTCTTCTTGCTGGTAGAAGGAAGTATCTGTGCAATAGGAAACACAGAATGCTGGGCCATTTCGTCTGTTTGACTCAGTGTTGTGTTAAATTACTTAGAAGCACTTTATTTTTTAATAATGCTTGTCACTGAAGAACATCCTGTTAAAAGGGGTCTGTTAAAAAATGAAACATACAGTTTAGTTTGTCATGAAACGTTGCCTTCAAGATTAACTCTTCAACGTAAACAGTGTATTTCTCTGTTTTCTAAAACCATACAAATGGCATTGCAAGTGTAGATACTGATACTTCAGTTCAGTGGGCTGTGTTGTAGGACTTGTGTTCAGATCTAAAGAGAAATATGTTGTACAGCAGTCTCAAAATGTGTGGGGCATGCGTTAAGGTGTTGTGTTTAGGGTGCTGCTGTTCTCATCTGCTGCAGCTCAGCGTGATTTGTAGATCAGTTGCGATGTTTACCAGACCCATGTGCTGGTTTTTTAATGTTTTATTTTCTGATTTATCCCCGAGACCTGTGAACTGCAGTTGGCTGATGCTGTGCTCCAGTTGAGAATGTTGGAGAGGCATCTAGAAATGTGATGACTAAGAGCAGACATTGTTTAAAGAGAGTTTTTAAAAAGTATGGAACAGCAACTTTCTTTAAAAAGAAACTTGATTTAAAATTCTGCAAGTACTGAAAAATGTTTTTAGCTGTAAAACTTGGTGTTGGTTTCATTTGTAATTGTGTCTTCTATCTACAGTTTTTGAAGAACCTGAAGATCCTAGCAGCAGATCATTTTTTTCAGAAATAATATCATCGATATCTGATGTAAAATTCAGTCACAGTGGTCGATACATGATGACAAGAGACTACCTTTCTGTTAAAGTGTGGGATCTCAATATGGAAAACAGGCCTGTAGAGACATATCAAGTATGGTGTTCAAGTTCTCTTAAAGAGCCTTTCTTTTCCCTTTTCTTCTTTTTCTTTGTCTAATACCAATTTAAATGTTCCAAAAAGGTTCATGAGTATCTTCGAAGCAAGCTTTGTTCCCTTTACGAAAATGACTGCATCTTCGACAAATTTGAATGCTGCTGGAACGGTTCTGATAGGTAGGTTGGGGAGTTTGGTTTGCTTTTTTGGTTTTCCTTCAGCTTTAGGAATGTGGTTTCCAGTCTTGTAGCCCGTAAGCTGTACTTAACTTTAAGGATGTAATTAGTTCCGTTCCAGTCAACTGGGTTTTTTTGCAAGAAGACTTAATTCTTCAATCCTCCACCTTCCAGCTGCAGAAGTGGCACAAACTTCTGTGGGTCGCTTTGCTTCTAATACGAATTATCGCTGAAGTTTTGCGTGGTCAAGACCGGCCATTCCAAGCCGTGGACACGTGACTCGGTTTCATTCTCAACGTGTATGTGAGAACACGCGTTCGCTGTCTCGCAAATTGAATCTTCTTTCCGTGTTTTCTGTAGGCTAAAGAAGACAAAACTGGGTTAGATAATTACTCAGTTTGTTGCAGACAGTGGAAATACACATTTTGCCTGCTAGTGGTGGAGGCATTATAATCAGACAGCAGAGTCGCTGTGCTGGCACACGGGGCGTATGTTTGCTGTCGCTAGCTGTGGTAATACCAGCTGCCTGGTAAAACGCTTTCAGAAACCCCAGATAAGATCGTGGGAGATCTGGATCTTACATCTGGATGCTTTGTGTTGGCTTGCCTCGGGGATTCTGCTTTTGTAGGAGTTGTATGAGTGTGTCTGAGACACCTCAAACAGTGACTTGTCTGCTGCCAAACGCTTGCCAGCTGTTCAGGGAAAATGTCCCAGTTCTGATGGGATGGTAACAGGATCAGCCTGCGAAACGAGCTTTGGCCTAAATCTTAGCAAAGATCCAAGAACAGAAGGTCCGCCAGGTAGCTTAGATGGGGACAGGGATCGGGGAGCTCAAACCTGCTAAGCTGTGCCCAGGAGTCGGCAAAGAGTGAAACCGAGCTCGGCGATACCGCAGTGACAGCGGAGCTCGCTGCTGCCCGCAGCGTGGTTACTTACAGATTAGTGCCTGATACGAAGGCAAACTGGGAGCTCTGAATACCAGGCTGCAAGTGGCCAAGGTTGCAGATGGCTTTGAGTTATTGAGGGGATAAATCGTATGGTACCAGTCAGTTTCCAAAAAAACCAAATTGTTAGCAGTATCTACAATATCTAATGTAAAATGAATAACAGAAGTCATGTCTTGTATTAGAAGTCTTGTATGTTTTTCATTAAGCTAAAATGCAGAGAGACCGACCCTTGTTTCTGTGTGTTCTTCTAAGCAACTCCAGTCTTTCTTTGGGTGGTGGGGGAGAGTCAAAGCAAGGTGATCTCATCTGAACGTGTTGTAAACACGTCAGTTGTCGTGGAAGTTGTGATGCTCATCTCCCTTTTGAAGAGGAAAAAAATGCTTCCCTCAGTGCATTCCCTGGCAGGGCTCAAGGCCAGGTTGGATGGAGCTCTGAGCACCCTGGGCTGGTGGAAGGGGTCCCTGCTCATGGCAGGGGGTTGGAACCAGATGATCTTTAAGGTCCCTTCCAACCCAAACCATTCTACGATTCCCTAGTCCGGTCTGAGTGGTACACGTTGTGTTAGTAGCATCTCAGTCCCCTCCTAGTCATGAACTTTTTAAAGCCTCGAAGACAGCGTGTATCGGCGATGAGATGACCGGGCTGAGGTGGTTGCAGAAGTCCCAGAGCGTCTTCAGATCGCAGTGTGGGAACGGCTTCTCCGCTTTCAAGTGGTGGGGAGAAGTGTTCAATACAGAAAGTAATGAAAAATTCACCCTCAATTTCAAGCGTATCTTTTGAGAGAGCTACAGCAAGCTGTTCGCTGGGAGTTAGATGGATGGAAGCGTTTATTTTCAGATGCACATTTTTTTCTGCCTTGTTCAAAAGCAGAGCTGACGCTGTACAGCAGCTCTGAACTGCAGGCCTCACGCATCCGCGTAAGGGATTTCTTTTGCCGACTCGGGACAATTTTTTGTAATTAACCCGTTGGCTGGCTCGTGGTCAGCACGGGGCAGCGGCAGGGGGCTTCTTCGGCAGCAGTCTGCTGAAAGCAAGCAGTTCGCAGCGCCTCGCTGCCGCCGCGGCGTCTGGGGCTGCGGGAC